AATTAGACAATCATTAATCACGAGACATAATGACACAACAGGAGGGGATCAGTGTCTTCGCTTTGCTGTTGAGTCGCTTCCAGAGAAGCAGAGCTAGTGGAACTGCCATGCTGCTCTGTAATTACCCAGGGAGCCCTGGGGCAAATCCATGTGGCTGACACGAATACCTTCCTCTTCTTTCTGTCCCTCCCTCCCTCTTTTCTCCCCACCCGGTGTCCCAGCGTAGCACTATGTGTCTGCAGCATGGGAGGTCTTGAAGTCATGGCCTCTGCTTACTCCTGCATTCTGGGGCAAATGGCCCTCTTGTCCTTCTCGCTGTAGGCATTGTACTCACTCTTTTCGATGTGATATCTCTTCCTCCGCTCATTGACATTATCTTATTGTTTTGTGTCTGCAGGAAAAAGCTGAGGCATATATTTTCCACTGGCTCCTTTCTGTGTTCCTCTGAGTACCAGCTCATAAAGCTATATAATCAATATTTGCTTAGTAATTTTCTTTCCAGGGGTCAAACAGGATTGCCTTGTGTAATACCCGTGCTGCTATTGTACCCTTGCCAGTGTCTCTTTTCACAGACAAAAGTGGCTGTTGGAGTGAAGATCCAAGCAGTCTGTAAAGGACTGCAGAGCGTAAACACTTGTGAGCAGAATGCATTGCCTTCTTGCCAGGGTGTACTCTTCTCCATACAGGAAGTGGAAGAGCTTAAGAAGAACTCAGTGGGGTTATCTCGGAGCTGTTTATCTATTCCAGAGTTCCTCCTGCTCAGGAAGTGAAAGCCTTCAAACTGTTACTCCTCAGCTGCCTGTTTGCTTCAGACGGGTGTGTGAAAAGCGGAGGAGGGGTATTTAGGACTGTGTGTGTCTGTGTTGGAGCTGAGGCCAAGAGGAGGGGGTTTGGAGTGGGGTTCTAATGAATAGGAGGACAGGTCTACTGCTCTGCTCTCCACACTGTCGAAGCTTCCCATCATGCTTTGCCTTGCCCCTCACCAAACTCTTTATGGCCTTTTGGTTTGGTGCCAGATCGCTCGCGCATTTGCCAACAGCAGCACGTCTTTGTTTTTATTTGTGTGAGTGTGTGTGAGTGTGTGTGAGTGTGTGTGCGTATGCGTGTGTGTGTGAGAGAGAGAAAATTCTCACTATTGGCATTTTGCTGCTAGTACAGTTCTACTTTAAACAGCATGCTAAAATGAGTCTGACATTTCTGGCATGTGAGAAATTCTAGTAGGTCTGACAAGAAACAGGCTGGAAAGCTTTAATTTGACACAGCAGAATACCACAGTATTATAGGAGCCTCATTGCACAGGTCTGCAGACAAAAAGTATCAACAAGTTGTCATGTGAGCCTTTATGGGTGAGGTGAATATAAACCCTTTGTTTCTTTGAGTAGACAGCTGTTTGGACATCTTTGAACTGCTTTAAGTACCGTACTGGAAACAGCATCTGTTCTAATTTGGATGATTCTCCTCATATAAACAACAACTTATCGTAACCTCGCCTCGACTACTATTCCCGATACTTTCCGAGAGTCATCTGTTCAGCCTTTTCATTTCTCATCCCTTTGGCTTTTTCAGGATGTGAAAATATTCCGAGCGCTGATCCTGGGCGAGCTGGAACGAGGGCAGAACCAGTACCAAGCCCTGTGCTTCGTTTCCCGCCTCAACCGCAATGAGATCATCCCCAGCGAGTCCATGGCCCGTCTCAGGCAGGTATGACACGGTGGAGATTGTGCTATGGAGATTTTTCAGCTGATTATATGCTGTGGAGAATCTGAGGATATTACGTCTTTCCCAGAAAAATCCCCAGGCCATTCGTTTGGCAGAGGAGCGGAGAGGCCTGGAGCAGCTGACTATGAGCGCAGCGGTCAATCTAAGTCGGGCCTGGCACCTCAGCGCCCACATCCACAACATGTGTAGCGAGGCTCGCGAGGCCATCTACACCAGTGAGGCAGATGTGAAATACTGGCTGGAAAAAGGTCAGCAGCCATCTGATTTTTGTTTATTATTGAACCTCTGGTGAAACTCTGGTGGTGTTTTTGTACCCCCCCCCCCCCCTTTTTTTCTTTCTCCTCTCCTGATTGTCTCTCTAATTCTGCATACGTCTCTGAACTGATTCTCCTAATCTTCTCAACACTATCTTCCCTGTTTCTCTCTTCAAGACACCTCTTTCCACTTAATTCTAGTGATATGACTTCAAGTATTATCTTGTGGGGTTTCAATGATAAGACTTTGTGACTGTGCATGTTATCTTGGTTCCTCTCCTCTTTCGCTCTTTGCTCTCCAAATTGCCTTCTTGCACACTATGAAATAGGGTGAAACGGCATGTGTGTGCATGCAGATTAATTTTGTTTATCGGAGAGGTTCAGCCCATTATTTAACCATTTGTTTTCAAAAAAGCAGTTTGCAGCGAGATGCAGATTCTTTATAGCAGCGAAATCCAAATTATTCGAGCTGAGGAGAATTCATACGACAGCACTATTGTCAGCTGACAGCTTTGTTATTAAGAAAACAATGTTGATGGTCACGGTTCACCGAGCGCTCTGCGCCGTTATCTGCACAGGGACCTATCGTAGCGTCTCCTTAGCATAACAAAGCTGCCCTTTCACTGCAGCATCTCGCCTGTTTTATGCCACTTTGTTTGCGCTCTCTAGATCACAGCCGCATTTAATTGAGCGGAATCAGAAAAGGGAGCGATCGGCGCAGACGCGCGACTGCTTGCTTTTTGTTTTTAACTGCCACATGCTTCCCTATTTGTTTGTGTTCAGGAGTGGACGGCTCCATATTTGAGGTTCTGCCCCAAGCAACAGAGCTACCCAGCTTTCAGGCCTGTCATGCTACTAAAGACTTGTGGCAGCCATGTCTCTGCACGTACACCCTGCGGCTGGAGTGGTACCCGTGTCTGCTGAAGTACTGCCGCAGCCGGGACGCAACTGGCAAGGGCTCCACCTACAAGTGTGGCATCAAGAGCTGCAGCAAAGGATACCATTTCACGTACTATGTTCCCCAAAAACAGCTCTGCCTCTGGGACGAGGAGACCTAGAGTTTTGTTGTGGATGTTTAAGAAACGAGAAGACTTCTTTTTTTCTTTTTTCTTTTTCGCCAGCCCAGCCAATGCTTCTCCACCCATGCTATTCAAAGTAACCACAGCAACACTGGACCTTGGTTTATATCATGTGAAGTGAAGCTGTGTCAGGTGGGGAGGGCCGACATCCAGACATTAACGTTGAAGTAGAAATAAATTCAGGTTCCAGATGAGACCAAAAGCTTTTAAGGGAGATGCAGCAAAGTCACTAATTTTTCACTAATGTTTCTGGGGGAAAATGACCTCTTGCTGTCAGCCTTAACGTGATATATAT